GCGGACGGTTCCGAGTGGCGGCGGCGCGGGCGGGGTCCAGGCTGCTGCGCGCCCGCCCCGGCACTGCTCGGCCTGCTCGCCATGGACGACGACGACGTCTCCGCCCGCAAGGGCTCCTTCCGAAAGTTCCTGGAGCACCTCTCCGGGGCCGGCAAGGCCATCGGCGTGCTGACCAGCGGCGGGGATGCCCAAGGTGCGCGGCCGCCCGGCCGGCCGGGGAGGGGTGATGGGAGGAGGGCCCGGGAAGCGGGGACGGGGTGCCCGGGGCGAGCGGGGAGCGGCGATGGGAGCCCCGAAGAGGCGAGGAGGAGGGGGTGCGCGGATAAGACGGCGGTGGGGGCCCGCCCCGGCGCCCGGGAGCCGCAGGGGGGCCTTCCGGGGCACGAGTGGGCGGAGCGGCCTCGGAAGGGGTGGCTGCGGCGGCGGGGGGGGGGGCGGGGTGGGCAGGAGGAGGGGGGGTTGTGGCCCGGGGACGCTTTATCAGGAAGATCGGTTAATTTCCCACCCCCACGTTTATGTTTTAAATTGGGGCTGGGGACGGGGTCTCCCGAGGTCATTTCTCCTCGGAGTCGTAGGGCGGGGCGATGCCCCTCCGAGGCTTGGGGAGAGCGCGGCCCCCCGGATGCCGCGGCTCCCTCCCCCTCGACCCCCCTTCCCTTGCGGGAAGAGCGGCCGGTCCCCGCCGCGCGTCCTGCGGATTCGCGTCCCCGCGCGGCGCGGGCGGGCGGGCTCCCCGCTGTTGCATTGCGGGGCGCGGCGGGGAGCGCGAGGGGACCCGCGCGGGGGGCCCCGGGCCCGGTTTCCGCCGCTCCGCTGACAAAACCGAAGACGGGAATGGGTCGCTAGGCCCGCCCCGCCGGCCTCCTCTGGGGGGGGGGAGAAGGACCAGGAAGCCGGGGACTCCGGGGCGTCGCCAGCGCCCGGGGCGCGGACTCCAGCCCTCCCCGCCTCCCCGCCACCCCCACCATGTGGAGGCCGCCTTGGGGAGAGGGGGACGCAAGCCCGGGGCTGCGGACACCCAAAGATGTTTATAGTTAAGGGGAGGGTGACCCGGCCACGCCCGGCCTCTGGCGCTGGGTGCACGTGGGGCCACAGGAGCTCTCGGACGGTGGGGTTTCCTGGCCCAGGTGCATCGATGGGTGGGGCACGCCGACCGCTGGGAAGTGGACCCGAGGCGTCCTCGCAGCCTAGAGATGGCCGGGGCTGCAGGCGCCCATCCAGCTGGGTCTGCTGGTGTTTTCTCCCCCCTCCTGCTCCAGCCGGACGCGGGCGCGTTTCTGGGCCACGCGAGGCGGAAGGATGCTGGAGCGCGCTGCCTGGCACTTCCCCTCCCCCCCCCCCCCACCGCCCACCGCGCCCGTGACCTTCCCGTTGCCCTTGAGCCGGGCGTGGCTGGCGCGGGGGCGGCAGGTTGGGGCGCTGTGGCCTCAGCCCCGCCCTTCGCGCGTCTACGTGATGCCGGGCCAGTCGCCACCCTCGCGCCCTGCGCCCTTGGCCCTGGGCACCCGGCGCGGGGACTGCGTGCAATCCGCACCGCGGAGCGGGAGTCCCGGCGGGAGCCGCCTCTTCCACCCTGGGAGGCAGCCGTGCTGGTCACCGCCCCCCTTCCCCCACCCACACAGGCCCGCCTTCCCTTCCGGAGGGGGGACCCCCGGCTGATCCAGCAGTTCCCGCAGTGACCTAGTATCCTAGTAAAGTGATCCCGGGAGTAAACATTCCGGAGGCGCGAAGTGTTGTGACAGGGCACTGGCCCGGCCTGGAAACACGGGGGAACACTATTGGCGCTTAAGTAAACACCCAAGGTGTGCCACGTGGAGTCCGGGTGGGGTCGCCGTGGGGCTCAGAGTGGCTTCCCCGTCAACCGGCGGCTTGAAAAGCACGTGCGTGTGGAGACGTGGGCTGGCACACGTTCGGAAGCATCCTGGGTGAATCTTAATCGGGGCCTCGACGGGGGGATGCACCGTTGGGCAGGAAGACGAACTGGCCTTTAAACCGCAGGGCTTCAGGGTCAGAGTTTCAAGGTTGTTTTACAATTAAGGCTCTGTGTCTGGTGAAAATACATGGACGGGGCATTCTTTTGAACCCCCGTCCAAGAGCTTACTCAGCTACCTGGTAGGTGACGTGCACGGACTCGAGGTGATGGCACAGGAGAGCCAGCATTTTCTGTCCCCTCTGGCGCAGCCACCTGTGAGTAGTTGTAAGTAACAAGAGGCCAGTTGAGTCCACACAGCTGGTCACTGGGAGAGGAGACGTTGAGACCGGACATGAGAAGGCCGCTCGGGTGGTGTCAGATTAATGGGAAACGCCTGACACTCTCAGGTGGGCATCGGGCTGCCCCTGGGAGAGCCTCCCGTGGTCTGGGCATTTATCCCGCGGAGCTGAGGCCCTCAACTCCGTGTTGTCTGGAACCCCATGGGAAGCAGCATCTCCTGCTTTGGTATTTTGAGCTCTGACTGAGGGTCTCGATCCCCTTCTGTCTGAGAAAGCTCCTCCTGGCGTGTGCTGGGTCAGTCTCAGCAGCAGCAGATTTAGGGACCCCTAGAGAAGGTTGTTCCTAGAGATGCTGTCTAAGATTCTCTGTGCTTTCCCCATTTTATCTTGATTCCAGATTCTGTCAGCCAAGGTAGGAGAATTTTGCTCATAGCTAAAGATCCAGGAGAGCATGTGCAAGCCTTAATTTCAAGGTAGTTAGTTTTCTTTTTTCTTTAATTTTTAGAAATCTTTTTATTTATTTTTGAGAGAGAGAGAGAGAGAGAGAGAGAGCATGAGCGCATGAGCGGGGGAGGGGCAGAGAGAGAGGGAGACACGGAATCCGAAGCAGGCTCCAGGCTCTGAGCTGCCAGCACAGAGCCCGCCGCGGGTCTCGAACTCACAGACTGCGAAATCATGACCTGAGCCGAAGTCGGACGCTTAACCGACTGAGCCCCCCAGGAGCCCCGCAAGGTAGTTTGCTAATCCGGTGTGGAATGATGGTCGGATTCCACGTGGAGATGACCATGGCTACTATTTGGGGGGCCGGGAGCGCTACGCTTCCCGCCTCCAGGCCTCATTACGTTACTCCACGGTGCGTATGTCTTCATTTTCGAGGTGGGGAGAAGGTCCTACAGACTCGCGAGTGACTTCGTTCAGGTCACGTGGCTCATACGTGGCATTTGGCAGGATTTAGGCAAAGCCCTGTGAGCTCTCAATCCCCAGTACTTCCCAGCAGGCCATGCTCTCCGGGGGCCTTTCTTCAGTGAAGCTGTAAAGTTCAGGTCCAAGTTAACGCTCCAAAGTGTGCAAAGCCCAGCTTGCTCAACATTATACGGATGATTTTTCCACAGCTTTGTGAGGGGAGCAGAAAACGCCTCTTTACAGCGATAGCACTGGGGTAGCCGAAGCAGTCCCACGTCGATACCAGAGCAATGGAGTCCTTTTGTTTTCTACTCGAGTTTCGTGTAATTATTTAAAAAATAAGAAGAAAGAAAAAAAAATCCCCTCATCTGTATTTCCACAGCCCCCCGCCCCGCCCCTTAAGGAAGGCAATTTCTAGACCTTATTGTTCTTCTCATGCTTTGGGTTTCTTCTGTTGTCGCAAGGACGTCTGCAAGTTTAAACTGATTTTCCACCTTGCTGGGTGGACAGCCTTTCCATGACTAAGCAGCCACCCTCCAGCAAGATTGTGTCACTCACCAAACATGATTCAGAGTGTGGGCTCCGGAAGGCCGGGTGCAGCTGAGAAGGTGCAGGAACCCAGGGCAGCGAGGCTAGGAAGGCTGAGTCCCTCTTTCACCTGAGGCAAAGCAAGCATGAGTACAGTATTCGGGGAGCTCACATGAACGGAGTCTGGATCAGCCTTTCCAGCATCAGCAAGAATAACTTGCAGGATGAGTACCTGCCATCTGGGCTGTGCAGGCGCTACTCTGTGCTAATTTAGTGCACACGGGGGCAAGCGGGCTTTGTGGGGAGCTGCCTGCCTTCAGCTCTAAGTGGTAGACAGGGCCGGGCCGCGTGGGTGCAGAGGGCACGGGAGGAGGGGGACCCCATTGTCTCTCCCCAAGTGCGTTTCTGGGGTCCAGCACAGGACGCGGCACGGGGCAGGCTCTCGAGTGTTTGCTGTACGGCTCCCCTGACTCCCCTGACTCTCCCTGAGGCCTGTGGGCCACTCCCTGTCGCAAAATGCCGGGCGACTGGGGTTCTGGCTCCTTCCCTTTCTCATGAAGTCATTTCGATGCCTGAACCTCACTAATCAAAAGCAGTCCTTCTGCAGAGCGGTGCCTGGGAACGCCAAGGCCTCGAAGATTCGAACTTGAGCACCGTAGTCGGGAACGTGAGGCTCTGGTCTCGGGGCCTCGGGCAGGAGGGTGGTCCTGCCGTTGAACACGCGGCAGGAGCCCAGCTCGATGCAGAGGGAAGCGGGGGCCGGTGGGCATCTTGTCTCCGAGGGCTCTGGGGCCCCTCACTGCCCTGGAAGTCTGTCTGCGTACGTTCTGTAACGGGTTTTTTTTTTCCACTTAAGATGTAATAATTAATTTAGCAAAAACTGTTGCGTCCTGGCAGCGGTGTGTTAGAATCACGGCAGTAACCCCGTGAGCGCCGCGGGCAATCAGCCATCGCACCGTTTTCTGGAACTGTGGCACACGCACCGTGTGGCACACCCACCGTGTGGCACACCCAGGTGACTTAGACTCTGGACACTTGGTCGTCTTTCAGAAAAACTCAAACCCGGTTACGGGAAGCAAACAGCTTTGGCTGGGACTTGAAACGTTTCATGGGGGGGGGGGCCCCGGGGGCCCCCGGGGGCCGCTCTGCCCACCAGAGGGGCCACCGGGAGCCATCACCATTAGAAACACAGAGACGGGCTGGGACAGGGTGACAGCAAATGTGGGGACCCAAAACTGTATGCTTGCTGCGGTTGTAATTAGGTCAGGAGGGTGTATTTGGACAAAGGGCAGGGGGCTTTATGTTAAAAATGGTCGGGGTGCTGTGTGTCCACCACCCTCTTCTCAGCAAGCTCCATGGGGCGCACTGTCTGTATTTGGTGCACCTGCCCGGGGGGGGGACCCCCCCACCCCTTTTTCCCAGATGTCTTTGCCGCCATGTACTTAGCGTGCCTGGAATTACACACGTTGTACCTGTCAGGACGAGAGTGTGGAGAGAGTGTGGAGCCGGGCCTCCCAGAACCCTGGGGCGTTGGGGGTGAATAGCCTGGTT